ATGGGCCATACATGGAGTGTTTGGGTCATGGTTGACACCTGGCGTTGTCGCCTACATTCCTTAATAACACAGTGTGGTTCTTCGGGATTCAGACTCTGATTTTGGGCCAGCTATTTTGGAGTACTGTGAGAATATCGTGAGAGATTGGCGTTTTATTGTCTTCAGCTTGTACTACCCTGGCTGTGTCTTCTGCGTCTAGCCGTGTGAATAACAAGAGTTGGTCACAGCCACAGAATGCACGGTTGCGAGTTAAATGAAACATATCCAACAATGAATTGGGTGGCGTTAAGTCTCGTCCCATCCCAGTGGTGGATGTGATGCGTCCCCGCATGCTTTGGCTTATAGGGATCCGCATGCCCTCTGAAAAGTTATTTGAAGACTATTGATGTAGGTGCCTGGGTCGGGCCCAGTCGTACCTTCTGAGAAGATATGTGGATCTTTAGGGTTTGGAAGAGCCCCTCTCTGAAGATTAGTTCAGAACTCAGCAGCCGTGGCCACACAGCACCAGTCGGATGGTTTTGCGCCAGTCAGACGGCAGTTTGTACGGAATACCATGTCGATCGATGGTGAAGAGTCGATTGTATGGAATTACCAGCCAGCAGTCACAAGACGGGGTGCCTGTGCCGAACGGAGGACGTCGGGGTGCCCCTGTCACATCAGCCACTGGATGGGACGACTAAAGACCACCCCGTACGCCGTACTTGTGACTCTTGGAGATGGATCACTCTTCCGATTTGGGCCAATCTTCCATCCCATCATCCCATCTCATCGTGCCCACCCGGGTGGTACCCCTGTCACGCCCCGCTTGGAGCGGGTCGAGCCCAGGAGCTTGGAGGACCTTCGCCAACTCCAACGCCCCACCGAGGCCGAACGGCGTGCGGTTCGGCGGTGCAGCGCGGTACCTCGCGAGGGGCGAAGTAGGACGGAGCGGAATGGTTCGGTGACGTGCGAAGAAACAACATATACCGACACTCCATGTATGCCAGATATGCCGATCAGTTGGGGTGGTTGAAGGGGTCGAGTCAATGCGGCGGCATATATGGCATACATGGAGTGTTTGGGATATAACCGGAATCCGGGTCGCCTCGTCGTCCCGGTCCTGGGTCGAGTTGACTTGTTTGGTACGTCAGAACAGGAGTACGAGATGGTACGAGTATACCAGATCTTTGACTTTTTGGCGGCATTTCAATGGATTTTCTACGATGCGAACTGCAGAGTCTCAGGCACGTATTAGCTCACTATATATAGGTTTTCGAAGATGCGAACTCGACCTCGGCGGCTGACCTCGACCTCGACCTCGGCGGTGGGGAACCCCACCTCCGCCAGGTTCCCGATCAGGGGCTCCTCTGTGATGTGCTGTGGTCGGATCCCGATGCCCTTCCAGGATGGCAGGAGATTCCCAAGGGCGCCGCTGGGCGGATCAGACGATGGCAGTGCCGTGTGGGCGCACCGGATCCCTTCGTGGATCCCAGAAACCCTCCCGTACGGGTACGGACCAGTGACGTGGAGAAGCTTGACGGCTTTTTGGGAGGGACCTGTTGGACGTCCCACTCGACATCCAACAGGTCCGCAAGGTCGGTTGAATAGAAACAAGGGACACTGAAGGAGTCACAAGATTCCGTGTCCGGATTTGGCTGGAAAACCCTGTGCCCAGTGCGGCTCACCAGTGCCAGCCATCGGTGCCACCGGTGCCCCCAAGTTCCACCATGTTCAACCTACAAGCCAGACTCCATGTCTGTCATATATACCATTGACCCCTCAAACCACACCAAAGTAGGTAAATATATGTCATACCCAGATACTCCATGTATGCCATATACGCCTACATTGGGGTGGTTTTGGGTTTCAATATAGGTACATATTCCATACATGGAGTGTTTGGGATACAAGGAGTCTCTGGGAAGATCCATTCTCAGTCCATCTCACCAGATCTGAACGCCGTTCCACATGACTCTTCCGCAGCATGGGTACCTCCGCATCCCAGCGGGGTCGAAGGGAAAGAAAAAGCCAGGCCTGGACATCCAAAAAAAAAAAAACAAACAATGGATGTATCTTTATCCAAACATCTCCATATTGGATCAACTTTCTGGTTGAGACTGCGCGGATTTTCCACGGGGCAAGGAGATGGATCGAAGCGGAAGTTGGCAGATGTTGGCGTCATGTTGCAACACTCCATGGTTGAAACATATTTACATGATGCCAACAGTTGCAACATAATTGTATAGCTGAATCATATTTGTAATTACCCATCAGTGTCAACATATGTATTGTTTGGACCCTCCGAAGTACCTAGAACATGGGACATGACCCCATTATTTAAAGATAAACACGGTATTTGGAACTGAGATTCCAAGGAGTGTTTGGCAGATTTTCAAGGGACAAACGCTTTCTCAGGTCTCGTACACCTACGGCCCGGACATCGTGGAGCAGTTTCTACGGGAGAATGAGCTGGACTGGGGGTATGTCGGATGGGGCGGGTCCTGGTAATCCCAAACCCAGACACTCCATGTATGCCATATATATGCCTACATTGACCCCCCAAACCACCCCAATGGCATATCTGGCATACATGGAGTGTCTGGGAAACTGGAGAAAAAGAAACGGATCAGGAACTCTGCGTGTTTCAAGGAGTAGTTCCACACAGGAGTTCGGAGTTGGGTGCCTGTGCCGAACGGAGGAAGGAGTACAGGTGCCCCTGTCACATCCACTCATAGGATTGGAGGCTGAACATCAATCACCCCAACGACTCCATGTTTCTCCTGGTAGTTCAACACCTTTTTGCTGAAGGGTCGCAAGACTCAAGTCTATACATTCAGAGTCCAAGTTTTGGGGATGTGTGCAGCCAGGACTTCATGGTGGTTGGGAATCAAGTCGTCGAGGATGGCTATGAGGCCGGAGTGTGCGTGCTCCATTGCTCTACAACCCTCTTTGTTGTACCCTGGAAGTCCAGTCGACGACCTCTCAAGAATGGTCCTCTGTAGGTGATCCGAAAGGGAAAGAGTCAAGGGTTCCTTTCACTTCATGGGCCTTGGGGCAAAATGTATGGGTGTGCATTAAAACCAGGGAGACCTCCCAGTTCGACTCCCTGGAAGAAGGAAAATAGACCAAAACGCATTCATTGGGAGCCTCCTATTTAAAATACACACCCAGATTATAGCCTTTGGACGTCCTTTGGACTTCAACACGGGCCACGGTGTTTTGCTTGGTCTGACCCGTATTCGCATTGATTATACATGGATCGCTTGACTTCACACCTTAGCGCACCTGCGGCGGGGGGTTCACCCCGCCCCACCACTCATTCCGGTGTTTCGATGTGGGACCGAGTAGGCCATCCAAGAGAGAAGATTGCCCACCCCTCAGCGCAAAAAACGAGAAACCCACTTTTTGTGTGTGTGTGCATATTTGTTTGAAAGACACGTATAGTGCCGGAATTTCTGAAAACTTATGTTTGATCATTGAGGTTTTGCAGGTGTATCACCACCCTGACCTTTTTATGCTCCTCCTTCCTCAACCTCCGTGATCAGACTGAATGATAGAATTACGTTTTAATGTCCGCCTTTTTCGGCGGGCTCGTCCTGGACGAAGCAACAGAGGTTGACTAACCGCATACATACAGAAACATAATATATGACTGTATCATACTATTTATAACACATATGACTATTGTACATATGTATCATGACTATCATGACTATATATTTATGATTAAATATGACTGTATCCCATAGGTACCCCCAGTAATTCGTGTCCTTCTTCAGGTCACTGCATACCGAAGTCTGCAGGTCTCTGGGCCACGTTGCACGCTCTTCAGCGTGCCCGACTACTGCGGCGAGTTCAACAACCGCGGCGCCGTGCCCGTGGCCACAAGCGGCGTCGTCGCCCCGTCGCCGACGACGCCGCCCGGGGCAGGAACGGAAAGGACGGATGGCAGGATGATTTGAAGCTGCCAGGTTGTAAAAACTGGCTAGAGGGGTGGCGTTTTGCCATATATATACCTTCACCTTCAAACGTCACTTTTAAAAAAGGACCTGGCCTGTTTGTAACAGAATTCCACCTTGATCTCAGGACGTACTGATTTTGAAGGGTCGAGCGTTTTTTGATCTTGAGCCATTTTGGCTTGATCAGAGGGCGCCTTTGGTCTTGGGGTTGGACCAGGTGCCTTATGCATGTGTGTTTTGTGCACGCAAAGCAAGAAGGATCACAACTGTGCCTTGGCTGGTGCACTTGGCACGCAGGTGCTCTCTGGTGGGAGGATCATCTTGATCCTATACGAGGCCAAACACACTTCTTAAACAAATGATCTGTAGATCAGGACATGTTGTTTGTTTTGGGGAGGCCCTTTGCAGATTCCTTTGGTGATCCTGGCTGGCCTTACTGGCATGAGTTTGATGGCAAACCATTCATTCGATGTTGCACGTGTGGCAATTCTGAGTTGGGATTGCAGCTCACTTTAAGCTCTCAACTTCCCCAGCGGTCTTGCCTTCAACCTGCCTCCTATCGCTTTGCAGTATGGGGGGTAGAGAGAACAGCACAGCGTTGCAAAAGCAATACTCTTTCAGATCTAAAGTGGCTGAAGCTTGGAGCTCTTTTGACTACTTGGTTGCCGGTGCGGCCAAGGGGCACCTGGTGGTCTTTTCGACTTCAAAAAAAGGCCCAGTGAACAGGAGAGATGTCGTCAACAACGCAACTGTCTTGGGGCCTTTGATATGTGAAGTTGGCTTCTTGTTTGGAAAAGAGTCAACATTTAAGTGAAGATATTGTTTGTTGGTTATTTACCTGATTCCTATAACATCCCCCACACCGATCCTATCCAATCCCAGGCTTGCGCCCAACAATCTCAATCATCATGAAGCATGTCGATGAGTTCTTTTGGGCAAACCGGCCAGCCCACAAGCCTCCTGTGGAACGTGCTAGTCTCAAAATCAGAAGTGTTGAATTCATGCAGATCTATGTTCAACACCTACGGCCCTCAAAACTGGTCCCAAGGTGGAGTGATCAAGATGCACACTTGGGCTTTGAGAAACTTGATCACTGAATTTGGACGAGCTGCTCGGAGACCTCATGTTCCTCGGGAATCGGCCATGCGGGAGCTCTACGTATGTGCCGGGGTGGATCTTCCAGAGGGTGGCGGTGGCTGGGATGAACTCAAGAGTTGATGGCAATAAAGTTTGGTAGGTGGATCCTTATGGCCACTGCGGGGGGACTTGACTGATGTAAGGTTCAACGTCCGACCTGAGCCCGGATGCACCTGCCACTGAAGCTGCTGATGACTACGAGGGTTACTGGGAGGAAGGTGAAGAGGAGGCGCTTGAGGTGGATGCTGAAGTCGAGGCCAGAGGTGTTCAAGTAAGTCATCCGACGTCATCGATATATACGATACATTGGCCAATTTGTGTTTGGGAGGTACCCGCAATTGATCTTGCCCTCAACTTGAAGAAGGCAGAACCAAGCACTCCAGCTACCCGCCCCATCCTCAGCTTTCCTATTTTTAGCTAAGGGCTAAGACCATTCAGAATTCCTGTGCATGCATTAGGCGCACCTACATCTGTCGATGGAACCCCGGCATCCTCAGGCCTGGTGGTTTCATATCCCTTTCATGGATAGCAGAGATCTGGGTTCCCCCACGTTAGTCGACAGCTGACAGGTATCTCGACGCCACAGATCTTGGACTTGGCCACGAAGAACATCCACGGCCTGGTCAGGAGATCGAAGGATGGTTTCGAATGCCAGATTTGTGGGATGATTGCTTGTGACATGGAAACTTTGAAGTCGGTTGAATGCACTTCAACACCCGAGCCCAAGAGTAACCAAACATTGGAGTTCCAAAAGGCCCAACTTTCAAAGATGCAACTTCTAGATGATTTACAGAAGAAGTTACAGTTGCTTCAGCTTCAAAAAGATGTGGACGAGCGTCGTCGCCAATCCATGCCTCCTCCGCCACCGCCTTCACATCCACCGCAGGGTACCAACCTAAGTGATTGGCGATTCATTCAAAACTAGTACTTCGAGGAACCTTATATGTGAATGTTTTGCACGCAGGTATCGATAACATGGACACCCAAGTGATGGATTTGACAGAAGTGGCGGAGGCAGCAGCTGAAGCGACTGCCATCGCTGCCAAGGACCCTGTTGTTTATTATTGCCTATTATATCCACCAAACAATCTCATCCATAGCCAGGAGGAAGATTCCAGACGCTCTACATCAGAACTCCTTCGTGCACAGACATGGGTTCTTGGACAAGAAACGCCTGAACAGAAAGACGACAAGAAGGAGGACACAAATGGCACGGAGATTCCAATGGTACAACAGCCTTCCGAATCCAAGGAATCAGAAGAAAGCGCTATGGTACCTGAACAGAGGGTTGAGGAGGAGACTGGAGCCACAGCTGAGGAAAAGAACGTTGAGGAGAAGACTGGCGAGAAGAGTGAAGAGAAGAGAGAAGAGAAGGCGGCTGAAGAAAAGGCTGTTGAAGAAAAGGCTGAGGAGAAAACAGCTGTTGAAGGAACAATTGAGGTGAAAACTGCAGAAGGAAAGACTGAGGACAAGACGGCTGTTGAAGAAAAGGCTGAAACTGAAGAGAAGACTGAAAAGGAGAAGACTCAAGAGATCGAGACAAACGGGGCAGAGGAGACACCAGAAGAGAAGACCGAGGAGCATGAAGTGAAGAGTGAAGAGAAGATCGAGGAGACCCAAGAGAGTCCTGTGAAGAGTGAAAAGAAGGTTGAGGAGGTGAAGAGTGAAAAGAAGGTTGAGGAGGAGAAGAAATCAGAGAGTGCGGAGAACGGGGAGAAGGGCAAAGAAGGCGAGAACGCATTGCCGATTGCGCGACCAAAAGCTCTTGATGAGCACAAGCCTGTTGCTCCAGATGATCAGCCAAAAGCAGCAAAGAAGAAGAAGAGAAAGGGTGGCTCTGCAGATGATTGCGAGGATGAAGATGACAACCAGGATGTTGAGGAGAATGAGCAGAAGAAGAAAGGACCTGGCAGGCCCAAAGCGAAAGCCAAAGCCAAAGCCAAGGCAAAGGCAAAGGGCGAGAAGCCAACAGGAAAAAGGCAGAAGACCAACAAGCACCCCAATAAAGGACAGGAGGAGCTACAGGACCAACCGAAGGCCAAGAAATTCAAGGCATCGGCGTCGGCAGAAAAGAAGGAGGGAGAGGAGGAAAAGGTGGAAGAGAATGAGAAGGTGAAAGCCAAGAGGACGAAGGCAGAAAAGCCCGATACATCGTCGAAGAAGCCAAAGAAGTCGCAGAAGGACAAGGAAGAGGAGGACAAGGAGTCAAAACAACCGACCAAGGAGCCAAAGACAAAGAAGACTGGGAAGACAAAGGAACAGGAGCAGAAGGCCATTGAAGGTGGGAATTCAGAAAGGACGACGACCTCAACGAGGAAAGCAGCAGAGTCACAGGAAGAGAAGGAGAAAGCATCACAGAAGGGCAAGAAGAGCGATGATGCAAAGAAGGAAGAGAAGGAGCGAGGAAGGAAGAGAAAAGTGCAGGAAAGCCCAAAGGAGAAGACCGAAGGTGCTGATGGTGTTTCGGAGAGGGATCCTAGCCCAAACACCCTGAAGAGGCAGAAAAGATCCAAGCAGTGCTGTGCCTACAAGCAAGCCTACAACATGGCAATCAACTCCGGCAAAGATGAGGAGGAGGCAAGGGAAGAAGCTCGAGCAGTGACTGGACCCAACTAAGCAACCGCCCAAACGACTGAAACTGAATCATTCGTGTAACGTACAGACAAACCTCCAAACAGCTGGACACCAGCCAACGCGTTTCATCACGATCTGAGGCATACCGGAACTGCGCTGGCAGCTGAGAGCTCACTGGGGAACATCATTCACTTAAGTGATGAATGATCGGGTTTTCATTTAGCAAGAATGTACTTGCACAATCACGCACGCGTGGCTTAAGCCTCTTGCGGGCCATGCACCTATATAGATGGATCCTTGTCACATACATGGCAGGGCTTTGACCTGAAAGCTCCAAGACACCAACAGATGAAAAACAGAAAACTCCGAGCTTTATTTCCATTGTCCACTTGCAGGCAAGTGCATCTCATGGCCTCATCCTCCCATGGCATATTCCAAACCCTGGACCCACCCGGGTCGACCTACATCCTCGCACCCACTCTGTGCGCCAGGCTTCCCCCAGGCGATGGGCAAAGGATGTCCAGCCTGGATGTGCCGGGCAATGCGGGCAGGTGCCACCTCTCTTCAAACTGATCTGTCTTGAGTTGAACTGGTATTCGCAAGTGTTCTTTTTTGCAGGATTGGTGATATCACATTTTTGACTTTTTTTGTAGCTTTTGCCTGCTCCACATCGCATCAAGCACGTTTGCCATGACCTCTGTGCCTTTCAATCTTATGGAGCTTGGGGTTCCCAAGACTTTGGTCGCTATAGCCAGCCCCTTAGAAAATAGCAATCATGAGCGATTTCTCAAGCTGCCAATCCCCATCTGCAGCCTAGGTCTTACTCCTCGGATGGTGCAGCTTCTCAAGGGTTGAGGACGTGCAGTTCTTTGAGTTGTTTGCTGGGGCAGCAGCGACCACAAAAGTGTGGTTTGGGGGCCAAGAAAGATGTATATTATATCTATAGCCACGACTGCCCCCATCCATCCAGTGTCCACTTCCTGAGGCACCAGGCAGGCTTCAAATGTGTGGCCCTGGACAAGTGCTTTGATGACCCCTGCAGGGTTGGTGAATCTAGACTGCATGACACCATATGACACCCCAACACGTTATTTTCTGGATATGGAACTGTGAGCTCAGGACCTGTTTGAACCTTGTGCTCTACGAAGTGGAGAATGCCATCAATATCATGGCACCAGATTGTTCTAGCTGGGGAATTCCATGCCGCGGAACAGCTGGTCGGACATATTTTAATTACCAAGGGAATACCCAGTACACGTTTGTGGACATTGGCAACCGCATGATAAGCAGGTCTTCTAGCTGCAAGTGTCCTTTTGTTTGGGCCTCCTTTCAACACCTACACACACCTCACTCACTTCCCTAAAGAGCCTGAGGCTGGTGATCGTATGCTTTGTGGTTTTGGCCAAGCGGTGCATATTCGTGATAGAGAATCCAGTTCATTCACTTCTTTTCCGGCACTACCGCTTTGAATACTTGTGCAATGCTGTGGCCACAGTCCCTTTGGCCGCCAATGATGTCGCAGTTCCACCGGTGCATCGGACCCCTTTACCTTGCCACCCCAGGTCTACAAGCAGCCCTTTTGGATGGGCTTGCTGGGAAGCAAGAGTCCAAAACGGACAATGGTCTGGAGCAACGATCGACTGATTGCAGAGATGGATTTGGGTAAACTATCCAAGTCCCACCCTTGTCGACAAAACCCGGAAGATAAAACGACACGCACCTCATATTACATATATGTGATTGTCTGTTTTTCAGGACCTTTCAAGTTTATATACTAGCCATGGGTTTGACCAAGGTACTTACACCAACAAAGAGGGCAAAAAGAAGTTTGTCGGAACAGACAAGCTCAAACAGTCACAGCGACTTTGTAGCACTAGTGTGCACTAGATCATTTGCAATATATATAGTACTGATAATATCATGCCACTAATACTCAGGCAATACCCTCCTGGAGTTGGACATGCCCTGTTGAAGAGCTACCTCAAGTCGTGCAAGGGCCCTTTCCGGCGTGATCTTCGTAAGAAGTATGAGTTGGATGAAACTTTGACTGACCGCCAGCTCTTTGAGGTGTACCCACTGGTTGATGACCAATGGTTTGATGCCGGCCTTGCTGAAACCTTCTTTTACCTATACGGATGTAGTTCCCTTTGCATTCCAGACTCCTGGCAAAGCACCATGGAAACCTTCAAAAATCAACTTGTCTCTCTTGTGGCCCCTTGATCCGATATGTACATTTTTGCTTTATGCACTAGTTCGATTGGTGGTTGCTACACGTTACTACTGCAGCCCGGCCCTGCTTGCCTTGACGCCTCCAGGAGACACAGAACCAGCCCGAAGACATGGAGGTTGTCTCGCCCAACCTTGTGATCGATGTGGATTGAGCGGGTGTTGGGGGATGGCACGCGCGGAAATTGATCCACGAAACGTCCGCAAAAACCCCACGAACGCGCGCAAATTTCCACAAACGTCCGCAAAAATAAAATCAGTACTTTTCAGAAGTCACCTTGACTAGTTTGTTGAGGGTTTTCTGCTGATATCTGGCGTTTCTTTGTCATTGGGCGTGGAGGGACTGGGTAAATTGAATGAATGGGTCATGAAGAGGAAGTCAAAGGTCCTCCATTGGGATCGGCTTAGTCAGTCACCTATGCATGACTCATTCCATGCATGTTCATGCGATATTGTATATGTTTTGGATCTTCAGCCAAACAAGCTATCAGTGCATGTATTAAATAATGGCACTTCGCCAGTGGAGCTGCTCGTCAGTGGAGAACGGCATGGCCATGGCACAGTCACAATGCACTGGCACCCCTCAACCATCCGTGGATTTGGACCTTCTCATTCATGATTTTTGCCTGCAGTATTTTTGTAAGCACCCACCATGAACGCATGATATACCAATATGCCATGGGTAGTCTGTTTTGGAACCACCTCTCTGTGACGCAGCGATGTGCCTGAGGAAACTAAGCGCAAGATCCAGGAGATCACCGAAGGCCTTGCTCCATCCAGGCCTTTGAAGGATTTGGCGGCAGAGGGGGCAGTGCAACCAGGTCAGGGTATATAGACAAAAAATGTTTTATTGGGCCCTTGTTTATATATAAGCTGGTACGTTTTGTGCATCAACCATATTAGGACAACTGCAGCTGTCCGATCGGGATGGAGTCTTCTTGGCTGGGAGGAAGGTTGCTCCTATTCCCAAGGGTTTCCAAACGCCTCGATTGGAGAGCTTGGGTTCCAAGTCCGCGGTCGCTCCAAGAACTGTGAGGTCAAGCCCTTCCTTTGAATGGCCGCATGATGCTCAGGGTCCACATGGTGGCAAGTACACCCCATCACTATCGACAGTGCAGTTCACTCCACGTGAAGCTGAGGGTTCACAGGGTGGCGGCTTACCCCAGCCGATGGCTCGCGAGCTGTTCAAGGGAGATGAAAACAAGTCCAAGGAGAGTGCAACAGCTCCTACTGAACCCGACACCGACGAACCTCCTGCCAAGCGTACAAAATCAGATGGCTACGACAAGTACTATCATAAGTTTCGTGACTATTATAGTATGGGTGTTGCTCTTACATGTTTCTTTCTCTCACCACCACTCCATCCCATCGCCCTCCTTGATGCTAAGGGTTTGGCGCTACGTCCAACCCAAGGGAAAGGCCAAGGAGGTCCTTGCATCGCCGGAGGTTCTGCAAATGTGGAAGACACCAGAGGGGAGCCACTTGTGTTGCTATATATCTTCTACTTAATCATCCATCCCTTTTTAATGTGTGATTTGAATACAGCTAGTGACTACAGCCAAGGGGAGAAACTCAAGGAGCTCATTAAGACCCATGGCAACTTTGAGACCGTTGAGTGTGTAATCAAGAAATGGCAGAAGGTTACCATGCAGAAGAAAAAGGAGGGGCAATGGGTGACCCGACAGTACTTGCTCACACAACGTGGATGGACAAAGCAACTTAGTTTGAGCTTATTTTTGCAGCTATGTTCACATGCGCATCCGTGTACATGCTATATGGCTTTCGGGGTTCCAAATCACGCTAAGGGCGATGGTCGACCGAGCATGGCAATGGGCCAAACAGAGGAATCTGTGGAGGCAAAACACGATCCACGGTGAGGAAGAAATATGCATAGTATTGGACGACAGTTTTGCTTATAGCGATGAACAGGGGTTTGAATCGCAACAGCAAGGAGCCTTTGAGATGGAGGACCCTTCAGTTCAATTGTCGAGCAGTCTAGCCAAAGGTTATCTATAATTTTGGTGGTTTACAGGGCTGCCTTTGTAGGACCCCACGGGATCACTTCTTGACAGTGACATGGTGCCTGAATCCCATGCGCGTTTGTTGCCGGAGATCGACCAAACGGATGATCCCACCTATCAAACGGAGATGCTGAAGGGAAATTGTGCTTCTTTCAAGTTCCTATTTTGCATATATGTGCAATGATTCAGAATGATTCCATGCTTCCCTCCAGACCTGTCCACATGCATGCCAGTGGGGCTAAGGCTTGTCTTTCCGGCTGTGCAAGAGAATGCCTCATCTCTTGCTGTGATCCCAACCTTTTTGGACACATTGGGTCAAAAGATCGACAAGGCTGAGCGTGAGAAGGACTTTGTCGCTTTATGTTCGTGGATTGTTTACGCATGCAGCGCTAGGGCAACAATATGTTTAGCTGTGGCAGGAAAAATTGAAAGAGAAGGGCTTTCCTCGAGCGCTTCAGCTTCTTGCATGCAAGAATCCATGTTTTTCATGCATGCACGAATGAAATACTAGTGAGATCAATCAGTAGTTCCTCCACACCCAGGATGGCCAACCAGATCAGCTCAGTCCTCTCGGAGATGTCCGCCTTCTACGATGAGATGGCCGCCTTTCAAGCTGAAGCCATGGTCGGAAAGTGCCCGATGGTTTTCATATTTTCATTGATCCGTGCGTTGACCTGTTCCAAGCTGACAAATGCATGCGTTGGGAGACACGTGGGTCACATATCTTCAATCTAGGTGTGACTTGAAAAGCCTGACCACAAAGACTGTGGAGATTACCAAGAAGGATGTTGTCCT